TCGAGAAAGTACCAGAAACCGCACGGCTTCGGAAGCTGCTCTCTAAGCAGCCTACCATACAAAGCCAATTAAAGCTAGATTATGGACAGTGGACAGAGGGCAGTGACGAAGCCCTAACAGCACTAATGGAGGAACATTTCCCTGGTTGCACCGAGGTCGCTGATGCCAAAGAGCACCAGGACCTAGCAACCGAGGAACAACACCCCCCAACAGATCTGTTAACCACTAAGCGAATCCACTGGGCAATAGACTCCTTTGCGGGCACAAAAGCACCAAGACTTGACGGGGTATTCCCAGCCATGATGCAGGTGACCAAAGAGGCGATTACCCCATGGCTCTCCGCAATACTCACAGCTTGTATAAGTACTGGGTATATCCCTATCCAATGGAGAACCTCGAGAGTTGTCTTCTTCCCAAAGGCAGGAAAGTGCAGCCATGCGAGTCCCAAGGACTATAGACCGATAAGCCTTACCTCCTTTATATTTAAAACACTAGAAAAGCTGCTGTACTTACACATCAGGAATGAGGTAGGGGGACTGATGTCAACCAACCAGCACGCCTATACTAAAGGGAAATCGGTGGAGACCGCACTACACTCGGTAGTAGCTACCATTGAGAAAGCCCTTCACCATAAAAAGTATGCACTGGGAGTATTCGTGGACATCTCCGGAGCATTTAACAACGTGGCTACAAAAGCAATAACAAATCGCCTGGTAGCGACTAATACACACCCAGCAATCAACCTGTGGATAAGGAACCTCCTAAGTTGCAGACGGGTGCAATCAGAGTGGGGCACCGCTTCCATGGTAAAAGAGGCACACAGAGGCACACCCGAGGATGGAGTCCTATCGCCCCTCCTGTGGAATCTGGTGGTCGACGACCTCATAATGAGATACGAAAGGAAGACCCCAATAATAACAGCTTATGCGGACGACATAAGCATACTTATTACGGGTGTTTGCCCATCGACCCTCAGCTCACTAACGGAACGTACACTCAGGGAGATACGCGAGTGGGCGGAAGAAGTAGGACTCAGTATCAACGCGGACAACACGGACCTCATCCTCTTTACCAAGAGGTACAAGTTACCGATATGGACCCCCCCTAAGATCAATCAAACTAGGCTAGCCCCAAAAACACAAGTCAAATACCTGGGCACAGTACTGGATAGTAAACTGGCATGGAAACCCAATGTATTGGAAAGGGTGAAGAAGGCCACCATTGCGCTTTACGCATCCAAGAAGATGCTCAGCAGCACATGGGGCCTGTCTCCGGCTCTGATGCATTGGGCTTACATCTCGGTGGTGCAACCAACTCTGCTGTGTGGAGTCTTAGTGTGGTGGCAAGCTACTGGAAAGAAAACGTATCATAAGCTTATGGAAAGGACTCAGCGACAGGCTTTGCTCTGTATTACAGGGGCGCTGAGGTCAACCCCAAAAAAAGCACTCGAAACCCTAGACATCCACGCCCGTCTGACTGCAGGAAACGCAGCACAACGCCTCATCGCTTCAGGAAATATGTCGCCTTAAGAATACGGGCATTGTTCAATTGGAAGGGAAATGAACAGATCAACTGATTACATGACCCCCCAAACATGCCTCGACGTAAAAACAACTGCATCTTTGGAACCTGAAGACTGGAAAATCGGAAGAGCCCAAACGGAGCAACTCAATATATATACGGACGGCTCCAAGATGGACGGAGGAGTAGGAGCGGGCCTATATTGTACAGACCCTGAGATAAGGTCGCTCTGCTCACTGAAAGAGCACACGATGCGGTCAACCTATTCGTAGACAGCCAAGCGGCGATAAGATCCATGCAGTCGTCCGCAGTCAGTTCCAGAAATGTCTTGGCGAGCAGAGAGGTACTAAATACCCTAAGCACGACAAAGTCAGTGCGGATCTACTGGATTCCCAGCCACCACGGCATCGAAGGAAACGAGACGGCGGACGTACTAGCTAAGGAAGGCGTCGGGCTGGCGAATACGAGAACCGAGAACGTGCCTGTCTCCCTTAGAACGCTGCAAAGCGATCTAAAAAAGCAGTCCGGATCACAAACCGAAAGTAGGTGGAGGAGTACCACCGCCTGCAGAACCTCGAAAATCATGTGCAAGGACCGCAATGACAAACTCAGATACTACCTGCTGCACCTACCACGGAAGGACTGCTGATTATTAGTGGGAATATTAACGGGCATCACAAACAGAGACAGTTGTAGGAAATGTGACGAACCTGGGGCAACCGAAACCCTGGAACCCTGGATCAAAAGTGTCTGGCTAAGCTGTTATTCTGAGACACTATTGTGTGTCGGGCTCAACCGAAAACACAAAACACATAACAGAAGCGAAGAGACAAAAAGTGTTCTGCTCAGTGAGAGACCGTGTCTGCAAGGTCTTTTTCTGTTTCGTCAGTGACGAGCGGGTCACAAGTTGCCTGGGGATTGGTAATCCATGTTTTGCCTTGATTTTGTTGAAGCTTATTAATTCTTCAGTTGCAAACTGCCGTTCTGTCTATTTTCTTATGTCTGATACTGGGCCAAGCCGACAATTTATGCGGTAGCCGTCTGGATTTATTCAAAATTTTGAAATAAAATTTCGATGTCGATTCATTAGCGAAGCTATTCGATCAGTTTTCATGCCGGCTAATTTCATTCTTTTGATCCTTCCCTGTTCTTCCTCAGACAATTTTGTACCACGTTGTAGTTTTAACTAAACATGCAATTTTTTTTAATATTCATTCACTTTTACTGAAAAGATGTAGAGAGCGCAACTTTGATTTGAACTGCAAAGTCCGCCCTCTACGGCTACCAAAAAAAAATTTAACATCAAATTGCGATAAGCAAGAATCTCTCCGAGAGCCGGCTATTGCTGATTCTCCGATGCCTCATACAGCACCGTCTGCCGCCAACCTCTCTTTAAAAACTTCAAAGCCTCACGATACTTAGTCAGAACGGCTCTCCTCCGCCTGACTTCGCAAACATTGAACGACACGACAAAGAGTGCGTGGGAGAGACACAGAAAATCAGTCAGAATGTGTCGTCTGGCGATGCGTAGTCACTGCAAATTGATTTTTCCTTTTGGTTATAATAATGATCCGATCTAATCTAATTCGGCAATCTGGTAGATATGGTCATTCTCTATGACTGTGTGTTTGTTCAAAATTGTGGATGCCACAGATTTTCGACCTTTGTTGGGGCGAAAGTCAGTGGGGCGAAAATTTGAAATGCATTTGTAACATTGAAATCTAACAGAAGTGTGGATACCAAAATTGGTTGCTCTAGCTCTTATAGTCTCTGAGATTTAGGCGCTCATTTTAAGCGATAGGCAAAGCCGACCATGAAACGTGTGTGTTAGAGAGATACAGAACGAGAGACAATAAGTTTGTTTTCTTCATTCGGGCTATAATATTCTGCAGTCTAGAAGATAGTCATTCTCTACGATATTGCGTTTCTGGTTTTCTCGTATCATTAAAATCATGGATGCCACAGATATTCGATTTTAGTGGGAGCGGAAAGGGGCGGGGCGAAGTCTTGAAATGCACTTGTAACAGTGACAGATAACAGATGTCTGGACAGAAAATACACTCATTCAATTGCATATACTGACTGATTGCCAGGTATAAAGTAGGCAACGCTTTCCGCGTTTCAGTAAAAACCGATGTATGTTATATAAAATACCTCATATATAAACCTGCTAGTTTGGTTATTTCACACATTGTGCCACGGTCTCGGTCAGCTTAACTTCTTCAGACTGCTTTTTTGACCGAACGTTTCGATTTAGTTTAATGATAAAATGCTCTTATTTTTATCAAATTTGGTTAAATTACTTAATAAAAAAATGTTTTCATATATGTTTTTTGATAGCTATAGTACTTATGATTTAGTGGACTAATCCGGCCGATTCTGACAAATGATTTGCATATTCATCAAAGAAAACTTATATACAAAATTTCGTTGAAATAGAATAAAAACAAATTTTTCGTTATTTAACAGATTTTTTAAAAAGGTCAGATTAAGAACCCGACGTTGACAAAGGATCTCTGCTGATAATAGTTATTGCCCAGTTTTGTTTATTGCGACACTTTAAAACTGAGGGACTAGGTTGCAGACAGTCAGACATGGCTATATCGACCTATATAGTACAATGAGATCAAGAATATACATATGTATATACTTATATTGAGATTAGTTCTGTGCGTTAAAAAATATATAAAAATGGTGTAAAAAAAGTTAAATGCTTTCAAAGCTTATTGATAGCTGCCAGTATATCCTTTACAGAAATCAAAGCAGTGGGAACGTTGAGTCGTGGCTACGGCCGCGACTCTACATTTATACTCGATACTTAGTCACCCGAAATACCCGGTACCCTGCGCACACATTCACGACCAAGAGTGTGTGCGAACGAGACAGGGAATAAGCTAACGCGTGGATGGAGTTGCCTACCCTCTGCAAATTGATTTGTTCCTTCTGGCTATAATAATAATCAGATCTGATCCAGAATCGGCTATCTGCTAGATATAATTTCATTCTCTACTATTCTGCATATTTAGTTTTCTTGTATCTTCAAAATTTTGGATGCCACAGATTTTCGTCGTATGTGGAGGCGGAAAAGGTCGTGCCAAAATTTTGAAACATATACATTCATGGTATCACACCATAGGAGTCTGGATACAAAATGTCTGTAATCTAGCTCTAATAGTCTCTGAGAACTAGGCGTCAAACAAGACGGACGGATGCACAGACAGACATGGGTCTATTGACTCGGCTATTGATGCTGATCAAGAATATATATACTTTATGAAGTCAGAAACGTTTCCTTCTGAGCATTACACACATCCATTTTCCCCACAAATCTAATATACTCCTATACTTTCTTTAAGTATCGGGTATAAAATCTTAATCTTAAATGTCCATAAATACACAACATAAATATTTAGGAATATAAACCAATACTGCGTAACAGTTAAAAAAAAGTTAGTGGGCTTTTGTGTTAAAATACAAACCCTGGCCAGTCGCCACATTGCTTTGGTAGCGTGCGCCTCACCAAAGTCCCTCAGCAGTAAATAAAAGATACATTGCTTTGTACCCGAGCCCATTGTGGCCTTATCCATTACACCACACATTAGCTCAGAATTCCGGATGTGAATCCCTACAATTAGTGCACAGAAAGTCGAGTTTAGTTGTAAATTCATTTGTTAAGTATATTAAAAAGCCACATACAAGAGTCGTTGATACATAGATCCATGTTTTTTGTATAGTTTCGGCCCTTGTTCACCATATTGAGACGAATATGAGAGTCGCTGTTTGGGCGCATTAGCAAGCTGAATATTTGTTTTCCAGTCCAGAGTCGGCGCGGCTTAAGAAGAGCAGGTGCTGGTATCTGAATGTTCATGGTCGAGTCTTCGTTGTCTAAAAAGCAGGCAGCTAACTGCATTGCCTCTTCCTTGGTAAGAAAAACCTCTTTTTGTGTAAGCAGGTATCCACCAGTTATAAAGTCCTGCGTGGCAGCAATCAAAATCTCGCCATTTTTTGGCGTAACCAAGTTTGACTGATTACCCATAAGGATTAATGCCTCGGCTCTGGCCTCCTCAGTCTGTGGCAAGTGAAGATTCATCTCATCACCGTCGAAGTCGGCGTTGTATGGTGTACAGGCGCACTCATTAAAACGAAACGTCCGTTGGGGTTGTACTTTGGCGCGATGACACATAATGGACATCTTGTGGAGCGAAGGTTGGCGATTAAATAGAACGATATCGTTATCGCACAGATGCCTCTCCACAATATCCCCACATTTAAGCTCCTGTGCAACCTTCTCACGATTGCCATATGCGAGGTACTTTTTAAAACTAGAACCCCGCTGTTGGACGTAGTTGGCCCCTGGGTGCGTGCCAGGTCCATTGCGTACAAGATGCTTCATATGACGAATGTTTGCGAGATTTACGCGTTCCGGGTAGGTAAGAATCTTAGCAACACGCACTGGCACACCCACCTGATTAATCATCAAGTTGGGGTCCGGCGAAATGACGGTACGGCCGCTGAAGTCTACACGTTTTCCAGATAGGTTGCATCGGAATCGTCCCTGTTTTCCCTTCAAACGCTGAACAATGCCTCGTGTAGTTTTCTTCGGTGCCATGTTGATCGGAATTCCACTGATCTCGCTATGAAAGTAAAGGGCCACATGCAGTTGTAAAAAGTCCCAGTCTTCATATATAAGTTCTATTTTTCCGCCGGTAGCCATGTGACGCTGGATCACATCATTAATTAGTAAGATCTCGCTCTGTTTCATAGTCAAGTCATCTTCTGTTGTGCCGGCCTTTACTTCTGATAATACCGATGGACGAATGCAGGCAGGAGGCACAAATACGCGCGTCACAATTAGATGCTTAGGATGGGCACCACGAGAGCACATTCCCAATAAGGCTACATCACTCTGTGGGATCTGTTCAAAAAGGTCCAGCACCATTAGTGGAGTTAGCTCCTCAGCCGTGCTGTAATTACTGAGTGTAAGATTAAGGTCGCGATTGAACTCTGTCGAGCGAAGCATTTCATCCATATTGCTTGTAAACACAGCATCTACCTTGCGCCCTTTGTATGGATCATGCAAAATCTTCAGAAGCCCAGGACCCTTTTTCACGCCTCCGTTGGCGGTTCCGCAGTGTGGGCATTTTGTGACTTTCTTGGCCTTGGCCAACATCTGTGCATGCAAGGCTTTTTTTCCCAGATATGAGAAATTTGGATTATGTAGCTTTTTTTCAAATGAAAGACGGTCCTCAAACTTTAGCATCACCTGAGCACACGACTTACATATCATCTGTAGAATATTAATTGTGGCACGGAAGTGGCCTATGTGGAAGACTGGGAGCGCTAAGTCTAAATAGCCAAAGTGCCCGATGCACTCATTCAAACCATGACCGCACGTTTCACATACAGCATCTTTCGTGCTGATGCCCATTCGACGATCCAGTACGCCAGAAGGCACCGGTTGTCGTTGTCCTTGATAGAGATTTTTTGAGGTGATCCTTACCAGCGCTTCCTGCTGAATCTCATCGGCCCCACTGATTCCAAACTGTACATGTGAACTGGGGAAACGGTGATTTTAACTAGTACAAATTTAAAATGGAGACACTTACATTTTTTTGTTCAGAGCCGATGCACGAAACTGTTCCTTAGGCATATTGATAACACCAAAAAGTATATTTGTATATGATAAATGTGAATTACAATTCAAGACTTAGGGCTACACAACCATCGTTGGCACTATCGATAATATTTAATTGAACGATATGTCCCGGTTTTTTTTTCCATCGATATGTCGTTCTAAAGCAAACGTTGGGATTTCGAAGACTATAATAGGCTCTGCACACTGAGCCCATCCCGGGGGAATGGTGGGATTTTTTGACAGGTGTGAAACTCCGATTCACACTGGCACCATTCACCATCCGTCGAAAACAGCTAATGACAATTTATTAATTTTTGTTCTTGTAATGGATGATGAAGATGTTGCAATTATTCCGGCCGTGGTTCAACAGCAAAATATGCGAACAGCCTGATAGCAGCAACAGTTCTGGTGATTTTAATCAGTCAGCAGAACAGATACGATTTGCCATCGCAAAATATTGTTTAGACCGTAATGCAAATTATAAACTTCTTTATTTTTATTTCTCAGCACTTGCAATAAATCATCTGGAGTTTTGTTTTTGCGTGTTAATGAGGTCCTCGACCATCATTTCCTTCCTAATTTCATGTTCTTCCTTCTACCTGCAGAAATTACAGGACGAGCACCAGGAAACAAAGCGAGAGATACTCCAGCAAACTGCGAGCAGCCAATGCCAGTCTAACCTCCAAACAGAGCAATTTTTACGGGAGTCCAAAGTGTAATGTTTATATCACATATATGTATAGCTTTATTCTAGCCAATAAAAAAAGCCAATTTATAAATTTTAAACTGTTGAAATTTCACAATTTAGACCATAATATTGTTATTTTATATTCATCAGCTGCTTTTGATGGATGGTAGATGTTGGAAGGTTCTATTGATAATCGGGGTTTCACATCTGTCAAAAAATCCCACCGTTCCCCGGGATGTGCTCAATGTGCAGAGCCTAATACAAATGTTTAATGTTACATGTTTAGAGTTCAACTATGGATAGTTAAACTGTGTAAAAATAGTGTTCGGGCCAGCCGCTGAATAATAACCGTAACTTTAACATTATTATTGTATGAGCAGTTGTAAAGCGTTGACTTTCTGCAGAGCTGCTGCGCTCTCCCGCTAAAGGGGCTCTCTGCCGCCGCCACTTCGGCAATTACTTTGATCTGCTGCCGCCACTTCGGCAATCACTTTGATCTAACGCCGTCGTCTATAGTTTAGTTCTATGCTAACCCCTCTGCGCATTGGTTGCATATCGATCTCGCATAAAGTTTATCTGGCAATAGCAAGCAATCGGCTTCCGCTAAGCCACCAAGATTAAATACGAATTATAAAGATTAACCCAAAATCTCTTTTCATTTTTGAAACACATAGGTGCCAAAAAAGCTTGGCATCCAAACATTGGTGACCCCCCGACGTGATATAAAACCATTTCTTAATCGCGTTCCGTTAAAACACTTATTAATTATACAATATTGTGTTGTTGGGTAGTTTAACTACCAACAAATATATTTGGGTGCACGTTGAAAAACAGTTTAAAGTGCAAATTCAGTGAGAGTGCGGCTGGATTATTTATAGACAAATTCCGGTACTTTAAGCGTCGAATCTCTCATTCTCTGCGCAGCTGCAGCCGCGGTTCTTGACTTTTCGTGTCTTGCATTCTCGCTCTCGCGTCTATACATCGTCGCTTAAGCGGTATTTCATTTTCCGTTGTTGTGTCGAATTGCACAACGGTTAACAAGGACAACGATCCGAATACAGGCGCGGGCGGAAATATTGTGGTGGTTGATTCCAGACTGAGTCTGTATAAGCGTAAAAGTCAGTCATTATATGATCGATTGCACAGGCTTGGCGAATCCTTCGCGGGGAATAAAATCGATAAGCTGACCGCCGCGGAAGTCGAGGTGCGCCTTGATATGTTGGCAGAAATTCGAGAGGAATTTAATAAGGCCCATAATGAATTGGAGGCTCTCGATCAAAACGAGATTGGGAGTGAGCTGCGCGAAATCTTCGATACTCTTTTCATATCGTTGAAAGCTGAGTTGCTGGCTGCTGTTGAAGTAAGCCAGTCACACGCCGCTGCCCATTCTACGACTCTGCCAAGCCATTCCGGACATAGTACCATCATCATGGCTCACAAGCAGCGACTTCCTGAGCTGAAGGTGCCTAAGTTTTCTGGTGGATACGTCGAGTTCTCGGATTTTATGGCAATGTTCAAATCGGTGATTGAAGCGGATGCGGATCTCAGTGACATCGAGAAATTCCAGCACCTTCGCTCTTGCCTCGCTGATGCGGCTTTGGATTCGGTTCGATCGTTGGAGCTCTCCAGTGCCAATTATCGTGCGGCTCTGGATATACTTAATAAACGCTTTAATAACAAAAGACTTGTTTTCCAGGCACACATCAAGAAGATTCTTGGGCTAAAGAGGGTAGACTCGCCTTCTGCTAAAAGGCTTCGGGAGTTTTCGGATGCAGTCAATTTACACATGCGAGCGTTGCAGACATTGGGAACTGCTGAGGAGATTTCAGGATTCATGGTTATCAACATGCTGCTCCAGAAGTTGGATTCGAAGACGCAAACCAAATGGGAGGAGCACACATCGTCGGATGCTATACCTACCGCAGAGGAATTCTTCGAATTCTTGCAGCAACGCTGCCAGAAAATGGAGCGATTGGAATATGCTACAGCGACACACGCTAGTAGCGATCAGGTGGGAAAAAACCATTCCTATACGAAGGTTAAGAAAACGTTTGTAGCTTCCAACTCTTCCGCCGACCCGTCTGTATGCGTCTTTTGCCACTCAGCGGGCCATGGAATATACTCGTGCAAGATATTCGGAAATCTCTCACCGTTGCTGCGACACAAAGAAGTGAAGAAGCTTTCCCTATTCTTCAATTGCCTAAAACCGGGGCACCGGACCCGCGCATGCAATAGTGGAAAATGTCGAGTATGCGGCGGTAGGCATCATAGTTTGTTGCACTTCGATAGTATACAGCCCACAACATAAGGTTGCCCAGGTATTACTCCTCCCGATCTGACCGTTCACCCGGACACTCTTTCCGTTGCTCAAAATTCTGCTAGCAGCTCGTCTCTACCTTCGTCTACCTCTCTTGCTGCCCAAGGTCTTCACTCTGATGTCGTGCTTCTGGCTACAGCCGTGGTTCTCGTAAAGAATCGGTCTGGCGTTTTAGTTCCTTGTCGTGCCATCTTAGATTCAGGATCGCAGCTGCATCTCGTCACATCCAGGTTCGCCCAACAGCTTCAGCTTAGGAGAACTCAATCGTCTGCACTTGTGTCTGAGCTGGGCGATACCAGCGTTTCTACTGAGGGATCCACCATAAGCATTTGTATGCATTCTCGCACCTCTGCTTACACAACTACGCTTACTGCTCTCATCGCCCCCACGATTACCGATTCTCAACCAAGTATGACAGTAAATGTATCCGATTGGCGTATTCCTCTAACATTCAGCTCGCTGATCCTGCATTTTTCAATCCTCAACGGGTTGATCTTCTCATTGGTGCGAGCGTTTTTTATGATCTCCTCTGCGTAGGGCAAATCAAACTCACCGATGGACTGCCTCTTCTGCAGAAGACCCGGCTTGGGTGGATCGTATCTGGCGGTGGACAGAAGGTATCAAGCTCGGCGCTTTTGGCTACGCACAATTGTCCAGATTCGATAGCTGAGAGGGACGCAAGGTTGGATAAAACTCTTCGTATGTTTTGGGAAGTCGAGAATTGTGTGGACGCTGGGTTGAATACCAAAGAAGAAGACGATTGTGAAGCACATTTCGTAAGCCACCTTTCACGGTTGCCATCCGGGGAGTATGCAGTTCGTCTGCCGCTAAATAACAATACTGATCGCTTAGGAGAATCTTATGCTCAGGCTTATCGACGGTTCATCAGTCTGGAGCGAAAACTGGAGCGTAATCCTACACTCAAGGAGCGGTATTCCGCCTTTATGAGGGAGTACATTGATTTGCATCATATGCACCAAGTCAACCCTGATTCCCGTAGTCTCTGCAAATATTTCTTGCCTCATCACTGTGTCCTAAAGGAGGACAGTACGACGACAAAACTCCGTGTCGTTTTCGATGGATCCGCAGCTACATCAACTGGATATTCTCTAAATGATGTGATGATGACAGGCCCTGTTATTCAGCCTGCATTGTTTAACATATTGATTCGCTTTCGAACATATCCAGTCGCTCTCACTGGGGACATTTGTAAAATGTACCGCTGCGTACGAGTGTCTCCACCCGACAATTTGTATCAGTGCATACTATGGCGAGATTCCATCGAGTCCGAGGTTCAAGTCTACACATTAGACACCGTCACATACGGGACGAAGGCTGCATCATTTTTAGCGGTCCGCGCAATGCACCAGCTGGCCATCGACGAGGGTGAGTCCTACCCTCTCGGCTCAGCTGCTCTGCGGCAGGAGTTTTACGTGGATGACCTTATTTCGGGCGGTAATTCGGTCGCACAGGTCATGGACAAGATGCACCAAACATCAGCTTTACTGTCCCGTGGTAATTTTAGACTTAGGAAATGGTGCTCCAGTCACCAGGAAGTACTTGAGGGAACCCCTGAAGATGACATAGAGAAGTTCCTAAAGTTTAATGATGGAAGCGACATAGCCAAAACTCTCGGCTTAGCGTGGGACCCTGCTTCGGATCAGCTGCTTTTTGCCTTGTCCGCACTGGACACAACCTCAAAGCCATCAAAGCGGTCGGTTTTATCTACGATTGCGCGGTTCTACGACCCTCTTGGATTGATAAATCCAGTCATTGTCAGGTGCAAAATCTTCCTTCAGCAGCTTTGGAGAGAAAATTTGGATTGGGATGAAAGCCTACCCTCAGCGTTGCATTCAACTTGGATGGACTTGAGAAATAGTTTGGCAAGCATTTCTCGGATCTCATTTCCTCGCTTGGTTCTTCGTTCTAGTGTGGCTACAGAAGTTCACGGATTCTGTGATGCCAGCTTAGAAGCATATGGCGCTTGCGTGTATGTCGTGTCCAGGGAAGCCCAGTCTTCGAGCCACGTTT